ATCAAACCAAAACAACACTTTCATAGTAGAGCTGACATTTGCCACTGTTATTTACTTGGATTTTTTTATCTGCACAACCCACCCTTCTGTCTTATCTGTGATGACAATTATACCAGGATGCTCCATTCACCTAATCTCACCCACTTCCTCCAAGACCTTGCTGCTGTCAAACACAGAATTGTGCCTGCAACTCAGGGCTCAGCAGAAGAAGAGGGAAGGTATTTATGCCTTGAAGAACTGTACCAAAAGCATCCACATAATGATAAAACATTAACATGACCCTTACCCTTTCCCCAGCACCTGCACCCTACTCGGATGAGCACCACTCTCCTGCAATAAACGCCACAGGGACAACCAAAAGCAGGATGTGGCAGAGCACTTAGTGCAGTTTCTCCTGCTGTGCTACTCGAGCAACACAGATCTTGGCACACTGAGAAACTTCTCTGATATCCTGCTTAAACTGTAACTTCTAACCGAAAAAACTACTAAGTTTCTTTACAGCTGCTCCCACTCCAGAGGTTACAGTTTAGCAGCCTTGAAGCTCCACGGGGCAATTTATCCATTATCAAACTGGCATGATAAGGTGCTGCAGCAGAAAGTAACAGCTCAAACTCGGCAATGCAAAAGCACCGAGGTGTATTTTGCTTACTGGAGAGCAACACTGTCACACACACTCACTCCGGCGTGTGTTAGCAGGGTCTGAACCTTAAAACTCATCCTAAAGCTTTGTGTGACCAAACCAGGAATCTCGAGTCGGTACACACCAACTATTGGCATCACTGCCTGGGGTCTGTGAAGGCTGCATACACTTCTGGGTTTCCTGGAGGATATTCCAGCTGCCCAGATGACAAGCAGCTAAAAATGTACATGGAAACCCAGGAGCCTGCAGCAGAGATGAATTCTGGAGCATGACTTAGAGCCCAATCCAGACCTCCTTAAAGCTCAGTCCCCCATGCCTCTCTTCCCTGGCTGTAAGAATGAAAAACCAATACCCCCTCTCTTCCACACATCCCACCCACTGCTCCCTCCCCAAACTCCTTGGGGCTGGGACCGTAATTTGTTTGGTACCCACAGGGCACGTTGCCCACTGGGGCTCTGATCTCACCCATCCCTCTCAGCTGCAAGGTACACACTGTGATAACAGCATTAGGAACACAGAACAAGGTTAGATCCCCACTGTAGTGTCCGACCTACCTCAGCCTCACAGGGAACACCGAGATGATAGGAGATATAATTTGACCCCAGGCACTCCTGGTGTTTGTGTGTGGCTGCAGTACACGGGTACCACCCTACTCACAGCTGTAACAGCTACACACACCACATTACTGTATCTATTGCCCATTTTCCTAAATCAGAGAGTCCCAGAGAGGCTCAGGTTGGAAGGCTCCTCTGAAGATGGGTCGGTCCAGCCCCTGCTCAGGCGGGGTCACCCAGAGCAGGATTGCAGCCCGTGGAGCTTCGAGTGTCCCTGAGGATGGAGACCACAACCCCTCCACGCAACCTGCTCCAATACTTGACCACCCCCACGGCAAAACACTTCATCCTGACAGACAAATGGAATTTCTTGCATGTTCGATGTGTGCCCGCGGCCTCCCGCCCGCTCGCCGACGTAACGACTGATCT